CCCCCCGTCCACTTTTGGGGTGCCCTGACAGGGGAAAATGTGGGTCCCCCGAGAAAAGCCACTTTGTTGCTTGGGGTTGCCCAACGGCACCGTCCCACACCCCCAAAACCCAAAGCTGTCCCTTGGGTGGGGACGGGACACCCCAATGTGTCGGAGCCGTTAATTCACCTCCCTGCACGGTGTCGGGCGGGGGAAAAAAAAATAATTTTTTTCTCTTTTTCTCATGATAAAACTCCGCCGCCTCCCTTGTTTACCAGTGCTTTACGGCCACCCCAGCTGGTTTTTGGGAGGGATGGGTCTCAACCCCTTTCTGTCTGTGGGGTTCCCCCCTCGCCCCATTATTCCCAACCCTACTTGAGTTTTTTCGGAAACGCAACGGTTGCTCCAAAGGGAAACGTCCCTTTGGCGAAGGAGAGGCCTTTGGGGAAAGGAAACGGCCCCAAAAACAATGGCCCCGGCGTTTCCTCCCCGGCGGGACGCTGGGTGGGGGTCCCTGCTCCTGGAGCTGATGGGATTTGCTCCTTAAGGGTTTGTTTTAATTTTTTTTCCATGCTAAAAGTTAATTAAAGGGTGTCGGGATGAGGCACGGGGGTCGCTTCGTCCTTAAATCCCGCCGGGATGCGATGAAGGAGCATCCCAATGGCGTTAGTTTGCACCAGCTGGTGAAGGATTCCCCCCAAAAAAGTTGTGCCTGAGTCCCGGGATGCGATGCGGTAGGGACTGAGAGCGCAAAACCACAGGAAAAAGATGCTTTTGAGCCCAAAAGGGGTGTTTTTCCTTTAAGTTTACTTTCAAACATCCCATTCCCACCCTGTGGGGTCCATACAGGATCGTGATGGGGAAAAGCAAAACAAGGGGTGATGCTCGGCATCCCTGTCCTCATTCCCATCCCCAATCCCCATCCCAATCCCCATTCCCATCCCCAATCCCCATTCCCATTCTATTCCCATCCCATTCCCATCCTAACCCCATCCCCAATCCCATCCCCATCCCAGTCCCCATCCCATCCACAATCCCATCCCATCCCCTTCCCATCCCATCACCGCTTCCTTCTCCTACATCAGGGGTTAAAGCACGTTTCTATCTATAGCAAAGTCACGTATTATCATTATTATTATTTTATTTTATTTTTTTTTCCCAAATTTGGCCTCTCCGGAGGATATGGCGCTTTCTGCCCCCCCACCCCCACCCTGGGGTCGTGAGAAAAGCCACCATGGATTTTCCCAACGGACGCTGCTCCGCAGCCCGGCATCTCCTATCTGCCCGTTTATAAATAGTCGGAGTTAAGGGAAGAAAAAAAAAAAAAATCCCCCAAAAATAATAATAAAAAAAAAAAGCTGAGTGGCTGCGTCACATCACCAAGATGCTCTTTGACCTTTTTCCGAGGTTTTTTTTCCTAGGGGTCATTTTTCCAGCCAGATTCCCGCTGTGTATTTTAAATCCCAAGCTTGGTCTCTTGGGATTTAATTTGGGTCTGGGTTTCACATGACTCCAGCGCCTTAATCCTATCGAGCGGGGTCATCAAACCCCAGCCGCCTCCAGCCTTTAATTCCCCATACGGTTAATAGCTTATAGGGTCGGGTGGGGTTTTTTGTGGGAGGGGGGGTGCTTTTTAGGGGGGTTCAGGCGCCTTGAGCTGGGAAGCAGCTTTTTTGGGCTGAAATGATGCGATTTTAGAAGAGGATGGGGTGTTTAATATAGGCGCGGTGATTAATATTGAGGTTGCCGTAGGCACACCGGGATTTAAAGGTATTTTTTCTCCGTAGGGAAAAATTTCAAAGGTAAATTTAAAGGTGGTTTTGTTTGGGTTTTTTTTCCATGGGGGAAAAAAATTAAAGGCATTTTTAAAGGTAAATGTAAAGGTATTTTTTCCCTAGGGAAAAAAAATTGAAGGTATTTTTAAAGGTAAATGTAAAGGTATTTTTTCCCCTGGGGAAAAAATTGAAAGGTATTTTTAAAAGTAAATTGAAAGGTAATTTTTTTCCATAGGGAAAAAATGGAAAGGTATTTTTAAAGGTAGATGGAAAGGTCATTTTTTCCATAGGGAAAAAATCCCGGCAGATGGGCTGGAGCGGAGGGAAAACACCCGGGCAGGTGCTTAGCTCAGGGCGGCTGGATGAAAATCCAGGTTTTTCAGCCCAAATAGCAGCCGGGAGGTCCCCCCGCCCCCCCGATATGCGTATGAGCGCCGGGAGCGGCTTAATTTTTTCGATCTGGTTAAAGCATTAGAGGATTTGAAGCGGCGAGGTGGCTAAAGCTGGAGCTGATGCCAAAGGGTTCGGTCCCGTGCCCGCAGCTCAAGCACCAGCTCTCCCAGCCCTTTTTAGGCTCAGGTTTGGCCAAGGTGAGAAATTTTAGTTGAATTCTGCAAGTAAAAGGGGATTTTGAGGTGCAAGCATCCTCCAGATCCGGATCCATCCACCTCTCGCCAACATGATGGAGGGGCGATGATGGAGCCGCGATCTCCTGTCACTGGGTTTTAAAGACGACAGAGCAAAGCTGCAGCCATGGGGCACTATTAACATCATCATCATTAGGTTTCAGAGTTAACACGCCCCAGTGAAAGCACAGGGTGCCTGGCCTGCAGTGGGTGCTGGCGGGTTTGCCGTGGTTGAGACACACGGGGCTGTTTTCATGCCTTGGTGTAGGACGGGAAACCCCCAGCCAGAGCCAGAGCATCTTTTCCCCCTCTGGAGCCTGGATTTCCCCAGGGATCCACAGCACCCTTTGGCCTGTCACCTTTTTTGTGCCCAAAAAATGATGCTGATGGAGGAACTGGGCTGAAAAACCTGGATTTTCCCAGCTGTTGGGGATGCCTGGAGGTTTAGGAGCTGTGGTGTCATTTAGTGAGGCCATTTGCATAATTAATGAACATATTATTATCATCATCATCATCATCATTATTATTACTACAACTACTACTACTATTACCATCACTATTATCATTATTACTATAACTACTATCATTATTCTTCTAAAAATATAATTCTATTCATAATTATTATATAAGGTATATTACTTAATATCTCTTTTAGTATAGAAATTACAATATATTATATATCATATGTTTTCTTCTAGATTATCTAAATTTAATACAATTATATTTATAATGACAAAGGAGCCGGGCAGAAAACACCTGGATTTTCCCAGCTGTTGGGGATGCCTGGAGGTTTAGGAGCTGTGGCATCATTTAATGATGCCATCGGCATCATTAATTAACTATATTATTAGAATTATTATTAGCCATCGTTATTATTATTATCAGTATTATGATCACTATTTTCATTATTATGATCACTATTATCAGTATCACATCCCCACTATTATCACTATTCTTATAAAAATATATAATTATTATAGAATATACATTATCTATTGTCTATTTTATTATAGAAATTTCAATGTAATTATTAGATACTGTATATTTTCTCATATATTATCTAAATTTAACACAATTATCTTTATAACGACATATAATTCCAATATAATTCCCCTTATTTTTCCATACTAGATATTTTATTCTACCCCACAGCTCATTATAATTCATAATAACTAATAGTATCAATGATTTTGCCCCCGATGGGAGTCACGGGCAGGCTCCTTGCTGCCGTCTCCATCACCCGCGGGCATTTTTTTTCCCCCCTCGCCAGGACTTAAGGGTTTATGTTCTTAGCCCGGGTGAGCTATTTATAAGCATCCTCACCAGACTGGGGCTGATTTCTCCTGTTTTTTTACCGGGGAAGGGAAATTTGATTTTTTTTTTTTTTTTTTTAATTCCTGGGAAGACTTATCGGCCGGAGCAGAGTTTCCTGCCTGGAGCTGGAAGGCTCCGTCCGGAAACCCCGCCGATGCCTTGTCAGGAGGGGGGATGAGCGGATGCAGGGAGGAGGCTATAAATACCCCCCAGTGCCTTGTTTTCCTCTTACCACCCTTGAAAAAATCAAATTAAAACCTCTGAGTTTGTAGGGAAGAGGATGAGGCCGTCGGGGGCTCCCTAAATCCTTCAAAACCAGGGCTTTTTCCTCAAATCCCAGGTGGCAGCAAGGCTTTGGGACGGTGGGGCAGCAGCGGCATCCTTCCCCCCCCCCCCACCC